AGGATCTATCTCTCGAAGCATTTCAAAGAAATTTTTGAACAAATTTTAAAAAACACCTTAACAGGAAGAGGCAAACTAATTTCTGGTCACCATTGCATTAGCTTTGATAAAACCCTAGAAAAGCAATTGCTTATTTTCTTGAGTTAGTTTCTGAACTTCTATGTTATGCCGGAGTTTGCCTTATAATATCCAAAATTCAAGGGTCAATAAGAACTGAGTTTTCTTGATATATGCTTTTATAAGATATGAAATAACTCTAGGATTACTTTTCATCATGGCCCTCTGTCTATCCCAATACTTAGATTTTTTTTCTTTTAGTACACTTGGCTTTGAACCTAGGGCCTTTGCACTGACCTACATCCCTAGCCCCTTTTTTATTTTTTATTTTGAGATGGAGTCCTGCTACATCACTAAGTTGCCCAGGCTGGGTTCAAACTCATAGTGGTGATACTCCTGCCTCAGGCTTCCAGAGTTCTGGATTACAGATATGCACCACCACATTTGGCTTCTTAATTCTTAGATGTGAAATCTAAAGATAGAGGAAAGGTGGTAGTTGCCCCAAATCACATTTGTACACTTGCACTTGTGATGAAATGGTGATGAGATACTTTATGTCATTGTCATTGAGATAAAGCCCTATTTATGTTAACAGATGACAAGAGAAAGTTTGAGATTACTTGTTTTCTCAGTGTTTGGGGCATTGAGCTGTGACAGTGTTGAACAGGCAGAAGCTGAACTCTGGATACAGCTGTTTGATTCTTGTTGTCTGGCCAATCAGCAAACAGGATGGGCAAAAGAAGAAGGTAGGGAATTATAGAAAAGAGTGATGGTAGAAAGATGATGAGGGGGAAATAGCTTTTTTTCCCTGTTAATAATACTGATGTGCTCTGATGAGAATGAGGGTTTATTGAAATAGTCCAAGGTAACTAGATGGCATAAAAACTTGGACTATTAGGGATATAGTAGACTCGATGATAAAAAATATTTTATTAGAAATGCCATAAATTTTAATGAGTGTCTTCTGGTGTACAAGCGATTGCCAGACTTACATCTTATAGACAAGCTAATCTACTTCTTCCTTTCTACCTTACACATGTAATAAAACTGAAATCTAGTGAATTTTAGTATCAGAGGAGGGGCTAGAGAGATGACTTGTGATTTTCTTTTTTCAGTACTAGGGATTGAATTTGGGATCTTGCGCTTGTGAGGCAGGTGCGGCACCGCTGAGCTAAATCCCCAGCCTACTCTTGTGATTTCTAATCAATTGTTTTATTCAGTGTTACATAGTGCCTTCAGTGGCCCAGAAGGCTTCATTATCTGGCCCCTTACAACTTTTCTGTCCTCATCTGGTCCTCCCTCCCCATCTTGTTAGTCCTCGAGTCTTGGCATTTGATCCTCTGGTTCCAAAGCTTTTCTTCCATACAGACATGGTTGTGCATACATGTAATACTAGCACTTGGTAGGCTAAGGCAAGAGGATCACAAATTTAAGTCCAGCCTGAGCTACATAGCAAGACTCTGCCTCAAGAAGGTTCAAAAACCAAAGTAAAACACTGAAGATTTTCTTCCATCTATCTGCATGGCTTCCTCATCTTTCTTTATATCTCTGTTCAAAGATATACTCATCAGAGAATACTTGCCTGACTCATCTTTAAAGTATTCCCTAGCCCCCGCCTCATCATTTTCCCCATTCCTGTTGTTTTCTTTATTTTACACTATCATATTGTATATTTATTTATTGTTTCCTTCCACTACAATATATATTCTATGAAGGCAGGACTTGAGTTTTGTTTACTTCCTTACTGTACGCTATTTAGAACAGTGGTAGAATATTCAATGTAATGTAAGTTGTGATATTCCTTTATCTCATTCACAGTAAAAACCAAAGCCTCAAAATGGCCCATGTTATGGACTGAATTGTGTACTTCTCACCCAAATTTACATATTGAAGCCCTAAATCCTACTGCACCTCAAGATGTGGCTATATTTGGAGATGGAGCTTTTAAAAAAGTGCCTATGGGGCGGGGGATTTAGCCCAGCGGTTCCGCTGCCTGCCTCGCAAGCGCAAGGTCCTGAGTTCGATCCCCAGTACCAAGAAGAAAAAAAAGTGCTTACGGTTAAATAAAGTCATAAAGATAGGGCTCTAATTTCAATGTGATTAGGGTCTTTATAAGAAGAAGAAGACACATTCAGGAGGCACTCGAACAGAGAAAAGGCCCTGTGAGGATTCGGAGAAGGCTGCCAACTGCAAGCCGAGGAGAGAGGCTTTGGGAGAAACCAAATCTGTCGAAACCTTGATCTTGGACTTGCAGGCTCTAGAACTGAGAAAACTACAGTCTTGCATCATTAAAGACGGGGTTATGTTGTAAGAAATGTGTCTTTAGGTGATTTTATCATTGTGTGAACATCATAGTGTATATTTATGCAAAGCTAGATGGTATAGGTCAATCATTTCAAGTAGCCTCAATGCAACCAAGAAACATGGTAGGTATGAGGTTACTGTGAGTAGAATATAGTATGCTAAAATAACAATAAGAAGTGTAGCAAGTATATAAGTCAGTGACATAGTCATTTATAATCATTTTCACATACTGTATTATGTACTACACATAATTGTACATGCTATTTTTTTTTCAGACAAGGTCTTGCTATGTAATTCAGGCTAGCCTTGAACTCACTATGTAGCCTAGGCTGGCCTTGAACTTGCAGTGATCCTTTTGCCTCAGCCTCCCATGTGCTGGTATTACAGGCATGCACCACCATGGCTGGTACGTGCTCTGCTTTTATGACTGGCAGAGTAGTGGGTTGGTTTACATCAGCATCAGCATGACCAGAGATGGGAGCAATGTGTTATTTTATTTTATTTTATCTTATTTATTTATTTATTTATTTGGTACTGGGGCTCAAACTTGGGTCCTTCCACTTGTGAGGCAGGCGGCGGAACCACTGAGCAAAATCCCCAGCCCTCAGTGTGTTATTTTATGATACCATAGCAGCCACTATGTCACTAGGCAATAAGTTCTCAGCTCTATTGTAGTCTTATAGGACCAATGTCTGATATGCAATCCATTGTTGATGGAATAGTTGTTATATGACATGGGACTGTACTTTCTGTCGTTTAAGTCACCCCATAGTATTTTTTTATGGTGGCCCTAGCAGGCTAGTATAGTTTATATTTTATATTAATATAAATATATATTATATTAATATAAATATATAATAAATAGTATAAATAGGTCCCTTCCACTTCATGTCCTGTATTTTCTTACTCATTCTCTTTCAGCTTCTTTGGCCTCTTGCTGTTGTCAAGTGGGCCAAGCTGGCTTTCACCTCAGGTCTTTCATATTTGATGGAATCCTCTTCTTCCTGGATGTCTGTACTGCATATTCACATGACAGTCAGGTTTCTGCTCAAATGCTGCCTTCTTAGTGGTTCCTTTCTTTTTTTGCTCCCTTCTCTCTCTCCTTCCCTCCCTCCCTTCCTTTTTTTTCCCCTTCAGTACTGGGGATTGAACCCAGCTACAACCCCAAACAAAAAATTCTGCCTGGGGCAAGAAGCCAAAAACAAAAAGTCAGCAAGCTTTCTCTAAACTCCGGAGAAATGAATTTGATTGTGGAGGAGAGAAACTTATTTTGTTTTGTTTTTTTTCAGACAGGGTCTTGCTATATAGTTCAGGCTGGCCTTAAACTCACTATGTAACCCTGGCTGGCCTCAAACTCACTGAGATCTTCCTGAGTGCTGAGATCACAGGCGTGTGCCACCACGCCCGGCAGGAGAGAGACTTTTTATCATAAAATATCTAGAGAAAAGTTTTGAAGAACTGTTACACAAATTTTAGGGCAAAAGCCCCAGCTGTAGGGGCCCTAAAAGACCAAGCTCAGGCATCTGTTTCATAAAGCCAATCAAGGAGACCAGCAGTGGTGAGGGGCAGGAAAGGAGCTTTAATCAATATAGCCATCAATATAGCCAGAAGTTCAAAACCAGCTCTTTGAGCTGGGTGTGGTGGTGCATGCCTGTAATCCTGGCACTCTACAGGCTGAGGCATTCTAGTTTGTCATTATGTACTCAATGCATAAACATCACTCGTAGTAAAATTTTCAAAATTAACAGAAAATATGATAAGGTTGTCTTAAAATATCTCTGCTACAAAAAAAATGGAAACAAAGTCTGTAGGGAAGGGTGGAGGGGGTGAAGGGCGCACAGGTAATGGGGAAAAAAATAAGAAACAAGATACATCATGTACGGGTACAAGCACCCAATGGTAAATGTAAATGTATACCTAAAATGTACCAATAAAAGAATTTAAGGAAAAAAAATAATGTATACAAAGTCACGTAAACTGTCAACCCAAGGTTTTCATGGGTAAAATGAAGACTGTAAATGTCTATCACATAGGTAGTCTTTTTTATTGTTATATGACATATAAAAAGATTTCACAATGTCACGCTTTTAAGTAAGTTTTCTCTGAGTTCCAATTTCCTGATATTTTGAGAGGTCACAATATACATCACATCATTGCTGGGAATTAATGGGGGAAAAAAGTACCAGGCAAGAGGGTAAGAGCAGGCAATACCCTAAGTGCGGGGAACGGTGGTGGTGCAGGCTTGTAATCCCAGCACTTGAGTGCCTGAGGCAGGAGGATCACCCTGAGTTTGAGGCCAGCCTGGACTCCTTAGGGAGACCCTGTCTGAAAAAACCAAAAAAAAAAGCATTATGATTAAGTGCCAGGTGAATTTTTTTTGATCTTCAAAGGAAAAACGATCAGGGAAGTCTTCGTGCAGGAGGTGAACATGATACAGATTTTATAGGATGAGCCGGCTTCGGTGGGCTCAGAACAAACGAGTTAGAGTCTGCACCGGGCACCACACTGCGGGAGCGCCCCCTTCCGGAAACAGGCCGTCACTCCCTTTTCCCTGCTTTAGGCGAGCGAGCACGGTATCAGTCGTACGCAGGCGCCGGGAGCCGACAAGGGCTCGACGGGGCTGGAGGGACGCGCATGCGTGCAGCTCTTTGGAGGCGGTAGCTTCTTCGGCGTCGCGACTGGAGGCTGAGTGCTAGACTGTGTGGGGCGCAAATAGGATCCCGCTGTTAGTCGGTAGGCATAGGTAGGACCGCTGCCTTGTGGGGAGCAGGGGGCAGGAAGGCGGAAGTCCGAAGCACAGGGGTCCTGGGCCTTTCTTGTGAGGTCTGGGCTTACTATTGTATGTGTCGCAGCGGCTGCGCACAAAATGGCGGCGGGCAGACGGCGGGGGCGGGAGCAGCTGGGGGACCCTCGGGATGGGAAGGGGTGCTGGGCTGGCTTGCGCCTGTGCTTTACCTCGCTGCGCAGGACAGCCTGGTCGGGCGCCAGTGTTGGGCCGTATCTCGTGGAGACTCGCCGCTGCGCTGGCCGAAGGAGGAGAAGAGCCCTTCAGCAAGGCGGGCGGCCCCTTTCCCAGGACTGCGGGGCCTGTGGAGGCCACGCCAGTCCTGACAGCCGCGGCAGGCAGCGGCGTGAGGGGGTGCGGAGAAAGGAGGAGCGTCCCCTCCACTCCGCGTGAAGAGGCGGTGGAGTTGAAGCGAGACCTCGGCCGGCGACAGTGTGCAAGAAGTGTGGAGAGAAGAGCGTGTTTGCGTTTGGGGAATGGGTCTTTGGGGCGAGGCGGGCAGGTTATGATCCCGCGACTTTGCGGTGTGCCGGGCGCCTGCCTTGTGTGGCTAGGAGAGCGGAGAAAACGTCACCCCAGTGTGGGGATACAGAGGGCTCGTAAATGGCGGTGATATTTCCACATTTCTCAGAGGAATTGTTAATGCAGAACGTCAGTGATTGGCTTTAGTGGGATTCCTACTTGGGCCGCGTTCTTTTAAGAGGAGACTTTCGTATATATACCACACTTCGAATCGTTGGGGTTTTTGAAGCAGATTCTTTGTTGTTGGGGCTAACTGCGATTGGGTTAGACTCACAGTATTAGAAAACCTTTTATTGAGCTAGATAATGAGAGCACCCTCAAGCTAATTTTTCATGATCTTGAAATTTGGGGGTTGGGGTGAAGGGAATGTGCTCTTAAATATGAAACACCTCTGAAGAAAAACCTGTCACCTGGATCCACCGACTTCTGTTTCAGAGTTCTTTACCTACCAGCTTTGGAATTGTACACACACACACAAATTTCTCCCATTGTCATTTATTGTAAAGGGTATTTTTTTAGGAATGTGAAGATTCACAGTTTAAAATGATAACCTGGAAAGAGATTTAGGAAAATTAATTCAAGGAAACTTACAAAGAAAAATAAACTTGTATATAAAATTACTTCAGCATTGCCTTGAATGTTGCTAATGGTAGTCTAGATTTCAGTGGGATTATGTGGCATTCAGTTTTACAAAATTTGACAGCATTTCATGTGCACTTTGTTCCATATCCTTGTACATTCTACAGTATGTATTTTAAATAATTGTGTAGAATCCAACATGTTAATCCACTAAGATATGCTGGGCCATGCTCTCCTTGGTCATTTGTGTTGGAACCAAGTACTAAAGGTAAAGATAAAGCGTAACTAGTTCTCAGAATATATTCGTGTCATACGTACTTATTTGTATATTGGTTATGTTTAAATTTTGTAATCTTTTTTTCTTTGCATTTTTTTTATGGAGGGTGTATGTACAGCAGAAACTTAGTTTTCAAAAAGGTTCTCACAATCAGTCATTTTATGGCTATCTTAGAGTTTTTTGGGTGCTCTTAAGAAGGTGATTTCTGGAAATTTTGTTTTTATGTAGTGGAAGAAAATGAGAAACAAGTAATTTAGTGGAAAGAGAATTAGGCTTTGGAATCAGAAGATCTGGATTCGAGTCCCTATTTTCCTTATTGTATATATGAAACTTTGGGTAAGTTATTTTAGTCTTTCTGAACTTTGGTTTTCTTATCTAAAATTGTGATAATACTATTTTCTGCTTGGTATTTTTTGTGGCTTAAGTGAGACAAAGTTTGTACATACTAGGTTTTTAATACATTTTAACTGTTTGAAATTTTCAAGTTCTTAGGCCAGGGATTTAGCTCAGTGGTTCCACTGCCAGCCTTGCAAGCACGAGGTCCTGAGTTCGATCCCCCGTACCCCCCCAAATTTTTTTTTCAAGTTCTTAGGCAGTGTCTTTTGAATAATGATTGTAGCCTGTGGATACTCCTTTTTAATTAAAAAGATGATTAAAGTAATTTAGATTAAATTAATAGAATTTCAGAATTTAAAGACCATATTTTGTGCTTCAGTGAACTTTATACATGGTGTGGTGGTTGCAGTTGTCAAAATACATTGTAATTATTTACATGATTGAGTTATTCTGTATCTGTCCTAGCAATTGGTGTGTAATGGGTGTTGAGTGAGTGAACTTAGCCAGTAGTTACCAAGAGCTGGACTCTAAACACATGTTCTTTTCTTTGGGCCTTAGTGTATATTGATCAAGGTTTGGAAAAAATCTGCGCAGATTCTTTTTCTTTCTCCCTTTCCTTTTGAGACAAGTGCTGTGTAGTTCGGGCTGGCCTTGAACTCATCATCATCCTCCTGCCTCAGCCTCCCAGGTGCTGAGGTTGTTAAATTCTTAATAAAATGCTTTGCTTAGTGAGAAAGTTTCCAGTATAGGTACCCACTTTGGGCTGTTTCGAAAGGATAACAGAAGCTAATGAATGTGGTTTAGACTAGATCATCCAAATTGAAAGTATGTTTGTGGCTAAAGCACATAAGCCTCCATTTATATCCAACTTGTTTACTCTTTCATTGCTTCATCTTTGTTTAGTCTGAAATTTGTGGTTAAAAAGGAAAATGGAAGGAAAATAAGTATGTGGGAAGGCAAGAATAATGTAAAGAAAGAATGGTGAGAAAAAGGTGAAATATAAAAATGAAACCCCTGGGTATAAAATCGATGAGGGGCAAGAATAACAAGGGTTTTGAATTGAAAAAGAAGAGAGTTCTGAGCGTATAGGAGAGGTAACTTTAAGGTACCTAATTCTCTTAGAGGTTATTTGAGTGTACATATATTTTGGATTCTTTTCAAATTAAGTACCAAATCTATTCATTGTTCCAGTCTGTATTTTTTATACTTTTCTCTTGTCTCAGTTAAGTCTTTGTTAAACTTCTAACCAATTTTTTCTGTTGTCTCTGTTGATAGTTGCCAACTTTCTTTTGAATTTTACTTTGTAAAAAAATCTATTATGGAAAAATTTGAACATACATAAAAGCAGGGAGAATTATATAATTTACCCACCTATCCACCACCCAGATTTAATAACTACAAGGTAATAATCATCTCTACTCTCTCCCTAGTTTTAAGCAAATCTTTTCAGTTTCTCAATGTATAGTTCAAAATTTTCTCATGTTTAGGAAACAGTGTTTATTGCACCTAAAATAACAGGTGTTAAAATAACAGCTGTTGCCGCTAATGACTACTGTTAAAATTTTTTAATACTCATACAGCATTCAGATTTTTCTTGTATTTCATGTATTATACACATGTATGTATATATATAAAATTTGTTGGGATCAAGGCGCAGGTAAGATTTATAATTGGAGCAATTTGTCTATAATTGTTTACACTTGGTTGGTACATCTCTTAAATCTATAATCTCCGAACCTACCTTATTTGTTGAAGAACAGCTTTGCTTTTTATATTTTAACTACTATGTAGATAAATGCCTTGCTTCGTCAGTATCTGCATCCGTGAATTTTTTTTTTTTTTGGTACCGGGGATCAAACTTGGGACCTTGCCCTTTCTAGGCAGGCAGTGGAACCACTGAGCTAAATCCCCAGCTCAGCATCCATGAATTTTGAAGTAACTCAATAATTCCCAGATCTCAATTTAGAACTACTAAAAGGATGGTGGAAGTAAGTGGTTAGTTCCTGTTTCTCTTTTCTTTTTTTTTTGTAATGAGGATCGAACTCGGGGCCATGCGCTTGCAAGGCAGGCGTGGAGCCCAAATCCCCGGCCTGTTAGTTCCTATTTCTAACATACTGTAATTTTCAGAAATTACCCAAGTTTTAATAAAAGGAACAAACATCTGCTTCTTAAATAAAACATTTTGTTTACTTACCTAATATTTTTTGAGCACCTATCACATGTCAGCAGTTATTTTAATTTTCACAACATTCTGGGTATGTACAGTATTTATTTCCATTTTCAGATGATGAAGCTGGGACTTGAGTTAAATTGCTTGCTCAGAGTTATATTGTTAGAAAGGAGTAGCACCAGAATTAAAGCATTGTGTACAGGCTCTAAATTCTTACACATTATGTTACACTACCTCTCTAAAGTCAAATTAATGTTAAATTTTACTTACGCGAGCAAACCAATTTTGCATGAAGTCATTTGCTGGCACCCCTCTTAGCTGGGTGGATATCTTCAGATCACTGAAAATTTCCCCAAAGATTAGATTATTATGGATTACATAATGACTAACAGTTAATAGTTAGGGAGGGAACATAATGGAGAAAAAGAAGGGCCAAATCTAAAATTGTGTTTGGAGTGGATGTTCTTTATTATACTGCAAGTTTTCTGTTTCTTGTCACACCTACTTTTTTTTACCTAATACACAATTAAGTTACATAGTCCACTGTTGGACATAAAATTTTGGGTCATTAACTATCTTTGAATAAATTTAAGCTCTGTGTGAGCTCAAATATTAATTGTATATTTAATTATGTAATTACATAGTAATATGCCACATAAATTTCTATACTTCATTGACTTGCAATTATAGTCATTTATTGACCTCTCCCTCTCTTTGGTACATGTGTACACACACTTATACACACTTTTCTTGAACTGACAGTAACTTGTGTACATGTTCCTTTTTCCCTAAATACCTTAGTGTATATTTCCTCAGAATAGGTTGTTTTATAGTCATAGTATAATCATCAACGTTAGTAAATTTAACATTGATAAAATTTTTTAATCTCTATTCTACTATTTTCTTTTTTTTTTTTTTTTTGGTACCGGGGATAGAACTTGGGTACTTGCGCTTGCACAGCAGGCAGTGAAACCACTGAGCTAAATCCCTGGCCCCTATTCTACTATTTTCATTTGTTCCAATACTGTTCTTTCTAGCAATTTTTCCCCCTGTATACAGGATCAGTCTAGGATGGGCTACTGCTTTTAGTTGTCATATTTCTTTAGTCTTTAATCTGAAACATTTCCATAGCAATGGCTTTATCTTTTGTGAAATTGACATTTTGGTTTCCTTTTTTTTTTGGGAGATAGATTTTCTTTCCCTATGTAGTCTAGGCTTGGCTCAAACTCTTACTCCTTTGTCTCACCCTCCCAGAGTGCTAGGATTACGGGTGTGTATCACCATACCAGCTTTTGCTTTTCTTTTTACTAGAACATTTCTCATTTTGGATTTGTCTGATATTTCTTCTTGATGAGTCAAGATTCAGATTATGCATCCTCGAGCAGAAAAATCACAGTGATTAAAAAAAATCACAGTGATGATCTATCCCTAGGGTATCAGATCTGAAGGTGCTTGATGTCCATCTCCCTTTCATTAGTGATACTGTTTGGTCATATATTTTGGTTAAAATGTTTGCTGTGAAGAGACATTTTAAGACCATGCAAGTGACCCACTGTTCAGAATTTCCCTCTGAATGTAACATCTGGTCACATTTCTTGCCTGAGCAACTCTTCAGTGGTAATTTTAAAATGATGATTTTTCCAACTCAATATGTACCTCTACACTTAATGGGGGGTACTGGGCACTTAGTAAGAGCCTTCCCTTTTCCTCCATTGATTAATTTATTGATAACTGACACAGACTTAACAGACTCCTGGTTTTTTCAGTGTTCCACTGGGTTTTTTTGTTCAGTTCTTCAATGCTTTCTCCCATTTTGTATTTGCATGTCTTCCATGAGAGTCTTGGTTCCTAATACCATGAAAACATTTACTTGTTTCCCAATCCTATAATAAAGTATCTAGAGTAGTTTTGCAATAGCTTCATTCATATTTCTACAGAATATTAAAAGAAGTGAGGGCTGGGGATTTAGCTCAGTGGTTCCACTGCCTGCGTTGTAAGCGGAAGGTCCTGAGTTTGATCCCCGGTACCAAAAAACAAAAATGAAATTTGTTTTCCTGCTTCTCTAAGCTCTACCAAAGCTGAGGGTATATAAATGAATAGTAGGTTCATAAGTTACTTGGATTAGTTTTTCTTTTGCCATTTCAGTGAGTTATGGCATTTATTTTAAATATGATTAATTTTCTTTCCATTGTAGGTATTTCTCTTTCTCATCCTTATTTTTAACTTTTAAAAAATATGTAGCTTGTGAAATAACATGCTTCCAAAGGTCAAAACTGTACAAATAAGATGTATTCTATGAAATATTCCCATATCCCTTAAATGCTTGCTATCCATTATCTCTTATAAGTAACCAACTGCATGGTTTTCTATAGGTCCTTCCGTGCTCATGTGAGTGTGTATATTTTGGTAACCATAAGCGAATATATGCGTGTTTTCTTATTTTTTCTTAACATATAAATGATACGTTCTTTTGTACCTTGTAAAGACTCAAAGTTTTTTTGGCATTTTAAGTCATTTAGTCAGATATTCTAGGTATGCTTAATTGAAGATTTTAGAAACCTGCTTAAGGCAGATGGGAGCATTTTTGGTCCATGCCCTTCATGAAAGAAGCAAATAACCAAATGGCAGGGAGTGCAAGAGTGCAGTTAAGCCTCAGAAACAATTGGAACTGGATATTGAATGCTTTCAATACTATATTTACTTCTTGGTGCTATGCGCCCCTGACCCCCTCCTTCCAGTACTGGGGATTGAACCTAGTGTAGTTTTGCATGGAATTACATACCCAGACCTTTTTTTGAGGCAAGTTTTTGCTAAGTTGCCCTGGCTGGGC